GAGCTCATACCGTCGTCCAATGGTTGAGATATACTAGCGCAGGTTTACCCCTCAGTCCGAGTACTAGGTAAGGGCAAAAAATCAGGGAAAAAAAACATAAGCAAGATCCTATAGGGCAGTAGGCAGATAGCTAGTAGAAATAGAAAATAATGAGTTCGGGTGGATACAAACAACCTCGGGAGGAGATAAAACATAATGCCACACTGCCGAGATATCAGAAGCTAGTAGGAGCGGTTGAAAATTGGCCTTAATATGATACGAACTGGCTTGGTGTATTGCGTTAAGCCCCGGGAGGCCCTTCGGTCTTCAGAATCACTAAAATTCGGGCTTCCGAGAAAGTAGATAGGGGTGTAACCATTGCAGTCTAGGTTTCTAATTCATGCAATAGTGTGTTTCTTTTCATTGCCCTTATCTATCAATCGGCATATTTTCTGCCTTGCCGCCACAAAATATTCCAATTTTTTCCTTTCCACCCATGGACCTGACCTGTGCCTGGCGGCTGACAGGATCTACGTTACAGCAGGGCAGAGGTGGGGGTTCTTCTGCGCGTCAATGCCAAGAGTTTTCATGCCAAGCCAATCCACCACGCTCAAAGAACGCTCTTCCTATCCAGGGAGAATTCCGGGGAACTTGTAACAGCCTTCAAAAGAGGATCAGACGGAACTCCTTATCCATGCCAATATGGGATGATAGTCACCAGAGGCAGTTAGTTCTATAATACATTCTGTGTACTCAGCTACACAGGTGCCGGCACTCTAAAACCCAGAAACCTCTTTTTGCCCTGTCAGTCACCTAGAGTGGGGTACATTGCTACGCTGCCTCTAGAAAGGCAGATTTGCATCATCACACCGGCTGAACTGCCATCCCAGTAGATGCTACTGCACCTGTGCGTATTGGATCACTTGTACCAACCGAATAGTGAAAGCTTCGACAGGTGAGAAATTCCCGGATTTCTTCCCCGTCCCGGTGGTTCGTATCATTTGCTGTAGTGGTAAGGGTGGACACCACGTCAAATCGCTCAGATTCATAGGAGCTGCGAGGTGCGGCTCTATTAAATATTCAAACACCAACCGTCGAATCGGTGGAGGGCAAAATAATCATTCATTTCCAGCGCAGATACAGCCCCTTCCGTAGAGGGTTCGCTCAGAGCATTCTAGACCGAGGACAGAATGCTGGAAGATGGGCTACGTAGCAGGCAGTTAGCTCTTGCGGCCAGCCCATGACTAGCTTGAGTATAAGGAACGAGGCCCGATTGGTGGTACAGTACATATGTTAATATGAATGATGTTCACTGTATGAGGCTGACCCCACCCATACAAGCGCAGCCGGGTGCGCAAATATCATACTGTATCATAGGAGACTCGAGGGGCCAAACCCGATTCATACCCCAGGCATGCCTTTGTTGCCAATTCCTACATATCATAAGAAGCTGGTCGAGCTCTATATACCACATCACCGAAACCCTCGCAGTGCTTGAACCCTACATACCACATCACTCACCAACTCCCCCCGAACTCCCTCCCACAATACAATTATACCCCCGGAAAAAACATAAATCTACCTGCAAGAGAAGCACAGATACGGGAGAGGAGAAGAAAGCTGAGCGACAAATTAGCCGCTCCAGAGAAAAGTATACGGGACCCCCAACCTAGGAGAGATTAATGCTGAATAACTTTTCTCAGGAAGCCATTCAGTGATTTTGTGCGTTTCTGATACAAGAACTTTGCGCACGCGAATTCAAGAACGGGAACTTAAACCGAGCGTCTGAGAGACCAACACAGGGCCTCAAGGTTGCGTTCAACCAGGAGGATTGTTTATCCGTGGAAACCCAGAACCAGGATTGCTTGGGTGTCATAAGGTATTCCCAAGTCTAGTCGCTTTTAAGGCTACCATAGGTATTCAGCAAGTATAATCTCTGTCTTGGGTTATGCTAATTGCATCCTAGTTAGTAATCGAGGATCATTCCCTCATCTCAGGAGGCGCTTCTCATCCGTCACAATATACATCAACAAGCCGCGTTCAATCACCAGATCCGTGAACAACACGGTGTCAGGCTGCGTTGAAAGCGCTAGGACGAAGATTCCACACAGCACTAAGATTTTCGAATTTAAAATGGCCAAGACACCTGGTGAAAGGAGTGTGGGAGGTTACAAGAGTGGAACATCGGGCGATGATCCTGGGGTCGCGGAGTGGCAGGAAGATCTGCGTGGGACAATGGAAGCTAGCGACGCACTCTTTGCTCAATACGAGAAAACCCTCGACATAGGGTTCCTCAATCGGGCAATTGCACTAGCCGAAGGCGCAATTAAAAGCTCGGACCCCCACCATCCCAAGCGAGCGGTCCTGTCGGCAAAGCTGTGCAAAATGCTGGGGGACAAATTCGAGCATACAGGTGATGAAGGAGATCTGGACATCACATGGGTGTGGGCAATGGAGGGAATGGACGAAACATCACGGAACAAGGTCAACTATGCAACCGGATGTAGCAGTATCCTCACTATACGGCGTCAGCTAGAGAGTGTATACGGCCGGTACAGATTCCCCGGTGGGGATTCGTACAGGAGATATGAGCGGCTAGATAACATGGCCGACCTCAACGAGTCATTCATTCAGGTAGAAAAGGCGCTCGAAGGATATCATCCAGGGAACCCCGCTCGGCCAGATATGCTAGAGGGCATGACCCTGTTGTTGTTAGCAAGATTTAAGCGGCTTGGTGACATAAATGATCTGGAATTGGCTGCAACCACGACTGAGGAAATAATGAGACTGAAGCGCAGCGGCCCGGAACATACAAATGCGCTTGCAAGTTTGGGAAGTATATTCTTCCACAGGTTTGAGAGGACAGGAGACCTTGGGAACCTCCAAAAAGCCATTAATCACACCCAGGAAGCATTGATTGCTACCCCTCAAGACCACCTAGATCGAGGGAGTATGCACAATAACCTGGGATCCTGGTTGTGTTCAAGGTTTG